AGTTACTTTTGAATGTACATCTACAACTGATTCAGTGCAGTTGAAGATGGACAGGAAAGCCTTGGCAAACACTAATTGGTTGCTCTGCAGTAAATTTGACAGATTGAGCTGAAACCTGGTGTGGTGGTAGCTGAGAGTCATTCACAACACACACTCTGAGCACAAACTGAAACTGTCTGAAACTCTGCCTTGAACAGCAGGAAGTGATGTGTATTCCTTAAGGCAGTGGTGTCCAAAGTCAGTAGGGATCCCAGATTAGTTGTAACATTAGACTTTATTTGACAAACATTTATTTTAACTATAAAAATACTGTAGGCTGTTTAGTTTTTGTAATTTCTAAACTAAATTTTAAAAATATATTACACGGGCAGGGCCATTTTATTTACACACAAAGCATTCTGGGTAAATGATGACGTGGATAGGTCCTCGGTGCGAGGCTGCTAGCGAGCTATATCCACCCTGAAGGTTAATCTTGGACAACATCTGATGATCGACTCTTTTAAATGAAACCAGAGAGCGTTGACAGAGAGGAGAAGGTAGAAATGACTCAGCCTGGAACTGAAAATATGGATGGAGGGCCTCAGTGTAGCTTGTCACGCTAGCGCTGAGCTAATACACATAAGGCAATAGCGTCAGCGCTAGCGCGAAGGCTAGAAGGCTAAGCTGAGGTTCTTCTTCCATGAAGCAGCTCTGTTGTCCTCCATCCATATTTTCAGTTCCAGGCTGAGTCATTTCTACCTTCTCCTCTCTGTCAACGCTCTCTGGTTTCATTTAAAAGAGTCGATCATCAGATATTGTCCAAGATTAACCTTCAGGGTGGATATAGCTCGCTAGCAGCCTCGCACCGAGGACCTATCCACGTCATCATTTACCCAGAATGCTTTGTGTGGAAATAAAATGGCTCCATCCTTGTTAAAACATATTTTCAAAAATTTACAAAACTAAACATCCCACAGTATTTTTACAGTCTTTATTTTACAGTTAAAACAAACGTTTATCAAATAAAGTCTAATGTTAGAACTGATCAGGGATCCCGTAAAGGGCCGGTGTCCTGCATGTTTTAGAAGCTAGCCTTGTTCAACACAGCTGAACCTGAGGAGTGCCTGATTAGTGGGCCTATGCAGACCTTGATGGCATCCTGAGGAGGCGTACTAATTAGGCACTACTTGGGTTCAGCTGTGTTGACCTGGGGCAGCTTCTAAAACATGCAGGACACCGGCCCTTGAGGACTGATTTTGGACACTACTACCTTAAGTAATTAAATCTATTATTATTCCTGCCTACATTACAAAGGGTTTTAATTAGATTGTTAGATTTTTAATGAAAATTTTAATTTGTTTGTTAGAAAATGCATCTGTGAGCTGATTGGTTCCTGTAGTGAAGTTATTTATTTATTCTGAGACTCTAAATAGATGCAATAAAAGCAGATACTTGCTGTTCGTGTTTTGAGCAGCTTTAATGCAAAGTGCACTCGTCTCAGGGCTTTGATTGCTGAATTATTTATCAAACTGTGACAAAGCTTCTCTCAGCAAAGTAGGAACCTAAAGGATTTCCATCAGGACAGCCTGAAGAGGGTTTTCAGAATAAAACGGTCTTTAACGTGAATTGTGGCCGACAGGGCAAAGTAAAAGCTGCGTGTTTTGTAGGGAAACATCAGAAAGCAGAAGGCAGAGCAGCTGCAGAAGTCTGTATGCAGAATGCTGACTTGATTCAGGGAAGACTATAAAAGCTTTTTAAATCGATTCTAGCTGAGAGTGTGTGACTTTGCTAAAAGCCTGTCAAGAAAGAGTTAAGACACAAACACACAGCAGCTTTTCCAATTGGAAAGATTAAAAAAATAGTTTATATTGAAGTAAACCAGTTTACAACATGGATGTCAGAGTCTGGTGAGGATGAACGTGACTGGACTGCAAAGAGTCCTGAACTCAACCCAACAGAACACCTTTAATGAATTAGAGCAGAGACTGAGAGCCAGGCCTTCTGTCCAACATGTGACCTCACAAATGTGCTTTTCTGGAAAAATGGTCAAAAATCCCCATAAACACTCCTAAAGCTTGTGGACAGCCTTCAGAAGAGCTGAAGCTGTTCTAGCTGCACAGGGTGGACCAACATCAGAGTGAACTCATGGATTAGGGATGGGATGTACCTGAAGCTCATATGTGAGTCAAGGCAGGTGAGGCAATACTTTTGGAAATATAGTGTAGCTTCAATGTACTTAATTGTTACTTTTTCAGTTTAAACAGGTCACTGCAGGTAAAGGAAAATCTTTTAGTTTATTTTTACTTTATCATTATTTCTTGTTAAATTTAGTTCCAGTTTAGAACCAATAAACCTCACTTTGTGCACTGTGCACAGTTGTTTGGATGGGTGAGCAAATACTTTTGGCAATATAGCGTATCTTAACTAAACATGTGGTTAAATATCTGAGTGAGAAAAATGTGTCTTAAATCTGCTAAAGCTTCTGACTGAGTGAATATTTATCCTTCTATAATACTAAATAAAGACATAAATACTGCATCTGGAATAACTTGAAACTGCCAGATGAGTAATGTAAATCATATTGTTTATTCTATATTTAACACAAGTCAGACTTTGTTTTTGATGGATTCAGTTTAATCAGTCAAAATACAATTCAGTTCAGTACAATCTGCATATAACTGTACTTTAACACTTGAACACATACTTGGTAAATTATTAACATAAAGACTAAAAACATGTTAACCCTTTGGATGTTTACCTGTATTTTAAACATGATACAATGTTCATGGGTAGGTGGGAGTGGGGGGTGTGACAAGCACACTGTCGGCCTTGGGGAAAGACAGAATATGGGGTGGAGAAAACAGCGCAGAGGAGCAGAGATAGAAGTTGAGTAGAGGTGATGAATTTACTTCTAGTGGCAGACCGGGTTGGGAGATGGTTATTCAGTTTTTTTTAATGTCCTACAGGCTCTTGGGTTGACGGATGGATGGATGGATGGATGGATGGATGGATGGATGGATGGATGGATGGATGGATGGATGGATGGATGCATGGATGGATTGGTTGGTTGGTTGGGTTGATGGATGGATGGATGGATGGATCAGTGGATGAATGGATGGATTCATGGATGGATGGATGGATGGATGGATTGATTAATGGACAAATGGATGGGTTGGTTGGTTGGGTTGATGGATGGATGGATGGATGGATGGATTGGTTGTTTGGTTGGGTTGATGGATGGATGGATGGATGGATGGATGGATGGATGAATGGATGGATGCATGGATGGATTGGTTGGTTGGTTGGTTGGGTTGATGGATGGATGGATGGATGGATGGATGGATAGATGGATGGATGGATTGATTAATGGACAAATGGATGGGTTGGTTGGTTGGGTTGATGGATGGATGGATGGATTGGTTGGTTGGGTTGATGGATGGATGGGTGGATGGATGGATGGATTGATTAATGGATGAATGGATGGGTTGGTTGGTTGGGTTGACGGATGGATGGATGGATGGATGGATGGATGGATGCAAAATTACCTGCAAAATGGGGGAAATCAGTGTCATTTACAGATGATCTGTAAAACTTGATGTATATGAAAAACAATAAGCTCTAATATATAGCCTTGGGGTACCCCAGCTGAACAGTTAAGTTATGGTAAAGTTGATTGAACTACAGGTGTGATTTCATTCAGCTGACAGCCCTGTTTGAAAAACCGACACACTGTTTGAGAACAGAACATGGTCAGTTGTGTCAAAAGCACATTTTAACTGTAAACAGAGAACTCCTACACAACCTCGCTGGTCCAGTAAACTTTTGATGATCATGGAGAAAAAAATCAGTTCAGTTGAATGTTTGCAGAAACCAAACTGAACTGAGTGGAGAGATGTAGCAAAGATTAGATATTCTATTAGTTAAACAATGTCAAACAATTAGTTTGAAACGTGACTGTAATGCAAAAGTAACGAGTCTTTTAGCAACAAGAAATAAGTAACAAATTTTTTATGAACTAGTTTAGCATGTTTTTATAACATCAACAATTTATTTATGTAATGTGGATCTAAGGATTATACTCATACAATTATTTGAATTATTTTGCAGTTCTAAACATTTTAAGTGTTTTTACTTACTTTTTCCACTTCAACGTTGATTCAACTATTCTACAGCCTAGAACACAATTATTTGCAATATGCAGATTAGATGATGTCGTCATATAAAAGGATAGAATGTGTGTGTTGGAGATTTTTTCAAACACTAATATATATTGTTGCGCATATATCCATCCAAGGAATTTTTATACTGCCACTAGTCAGCACAGTGTCTAATTCACAACATTTGCAAATGGCCATATTCAGAACTGGATGCCTTTCTATCATGTACATTTTTGCACAGCTTGGTCAATTAACAACAAGTTCAAGTAGAAATGGACGTATTCAAAAGTAACATTTTAAGAAATTTTGTGCAGCCTCTTAAGAAACTTGAAATTGAAATTTGAGGAGGATTTGTGTATGTTTAAGTCATAGGTTGTGCTGATGTTTAGAGGGCGCTAGAGAGCCAATTTGCCACGCCCACATCTGGATCTTAGTGCCTCCCCATATTGAAGCTAGTTCTATGTAAATGTCAAGTTTCATAATGATCAGCCCACTAAAACACGTTGAAAAAAAGCCTCCCATCAGGTGAAAAATAAATAAAATCAGGTGGAAAACAATATCTGACCTTAATTATTTTCTGTTTACTCTCCCACATACTAATGACATGCAGATATTAATTAGGCAATTGTTTTTTACTGAACCACACGTCACTATGAAGCATCGTTAAACTATAACTTTATCTGCTGAAATTTTCAGTAAAAATCTGCAGCTGGACTTTATTTTCTTTGTAATCTTTTGTTATGGTTGCTCAGTTTAAGTTATGATATTTTTATTTCACTTCTAATTTCACTTTTAATTTTCCTTCTGAGGTGTTTCTGCTGTAGTTTCAGTGTCTCTCCACTAGAGGTGCTCTTCTCTTCTCAGAGCTTCAGCTAGGGGTGGAACAACACCTGCTGGAGGCAGGACTTTGTGAGACAGACAGCCAGCTGAGTCCAATCACAGCACAGCTGTGTGCTACTGCTTACCCATGGGCCAATCACAATGAGCCGGAGGAAGCCAATGGGAATGAGGCATGTTCGCCGTTAGCCAATCACCAAAGAGAAGTGGAACAGAGCAACAGTTCAGGCGGTAAACCATTTTAAATTAAAACAAACAAAAGTTAAAAGTGCTAAAAAATGAGCACTTCTTTATTGTATTTAGATCTGTTTTTACAATGAAAACAAAAGAATAACTACATTTTCCATTAAAAAAGGATAAATGTTTCTTCATATATTTATTTTCTCAATTTTTTTGCACAAAAATGTTGCCTGTTTTCTTCCTCTCTGTGTAAACATGAGACCACACAAATAAGTCAGACTTTAATCAGTGAATTCAAGTTGATCTGGCCGTAAACAAGATCATTTATTAATAGAATCAAAATAAATCACTAATATACAACTTACTGTGGATAATCAAATTTTGTGGAGAGTTAAAACATCAACAACACTCAGTATTTGTCCGCACTAATTAACTGTCGATATGACAACTTTAACAGAAACAGCAGAACTTCAGGTTTAAGGTCTTAATAAACCAGATGTTTGCAGGTACATGAAACTTGGCAATGTTTAAGTTTAAGCGATAGAAGGAAAGGAGGATGTTAGCCCTAACGTTTTCTTATCAATATGTGAGAAAACCAGAATGAACAATGTGTCTCGCTCGCTGTCAGCCGGACGCCGGTACACTGGTCAAAACATTCAGCTCTTTTTACCTGGAGGTGTCTTCACCGTCAGGTTAAGCGTTTAGGAAGTATTCACCCAGGTCAGCACGAAACTCTGGTCAGGTTCCTTACTGCCAGTTAAACTTCCAGTGCTTTGATTTTTCAACATCTCCGAAATCTGCTTTCGTCCGAAGGAAAGAGTCACTTCGATTCGGTTTTCTCTTCAAAATAAAAGACTTCTCATCAGAAGTTTTAAAACAAAACTTAATGTAGTTTCAAAGCTGGTTGTTTTGGTCATGATTAATGGTATGGTGAACCTGTGGCAAAAGATTTGCTGATCAGCGCTTGAGTCAGATCTGATTGCCGAATGCTGATTTTCCTGAAGAGGGAGAAACAGCTTCTCTTCGTTGGACGAAGATGGTGTCTGTCTGTCGAGAGCTCTGTCCCAGGATGAGTTTCTACAGAAAGATAAACTCTAAGAGGGACGTGACCTCGACGTTTGGCTTAGTCAACAGGGAGAATGTGAAGTTTAGTTTAGGGCACTGCCGTAAGTCTAATAACGTCTGCACCTGCATAAAAACAAGTTCAGACCTTGAGCAGGATTAATACTAAATGACAAGAAGCTAGGTTTTAATGAGACAGAAGTGAATTATTTAAACCAAAATGAAACTTAAGATATTTGTCTATGATTCAAGCACAAATACCCATATATATTTCATAATGAAACATAATGAACTAAATCAAAGTGATAAATTTAGTTAAATAAAAACAAATAAAAACCCATAATCACATAACTGTCAAATAATAGTTAGTTAAAACAAGGATTTGCATAAAACAAATAAACATTGGAACAATATTCTTTTTTTCTTAAGTACAATGCAAGATAGATTATCATTCCTTTCATTATAACTGATTTATAAAATGATAATTTTTAGTTAAAAGAAAATATAAATCAAAAATATAAAGAACATTATTATTTTGTTTATTATCTTGATTAAAGAAAATAAAATGTCTCTTTTGAGGGAGGTCTTCTGAGACCAGGGTCAAAGACACGTGGAAATGTTTATTCCCACTCATGGTGACCCCGACAAAACTGATCCATCATGTGAGAAATGTTAAAGTTGTGAGATGAATTGTGAGTGATCTATAAAAGTAAACGGTGAATAATTGTAAATAAGAAAGGGACATTACAGCCCACATGTCTCAGTTGGACAGCTGCTGCCTTCAGCAGGTGAGCACAGCCCTCATCCAGCAGCTTCTGAACTTCTTCATGTCTGAAGATGAACTGATTCTTGGACAGGAAGAGACCCTGTACTTATATGGTCCAGATTTTTTTAATTATTGCACAATTGCTGGACAGTTTGAGTAGCTCCATGATCCTGGGGCTATGTTGTCTGGGTCATCAGCCTGGAGCCAGGCCTGGGTGGTGGGGGTGGGGGGGAGCTGTCTGGCGAATCCCTGGTGGTCGAGCTTTGGTTCCTTGGACTTGGCAATTTCAAACCTGAAAGGATCACAGGAGGCCACCCCCATGTGGACCCACCACCTGGGGGAGGATCATCATGGTCGGGTGCAATGCATGCCAGGGACGGTCCCTGGCTGTGTTGATTCCTAGTGGCATAAACTAACTCCAGGGATGTAGAACGTGACCTCAGTTGCGGGTAAGGAGCCGGAGCTTGTGTTAGGTTGAACATTACCAGCTAGATATAGTTGGGCTCACTTCTACTCACAACTGGAGCTCTGGAACCCAACTCCTGGAGAGGAGCTGGACTCTGTTTTACTAAAGAGGTTCCCAGGTAGATGTGTCTAGCTGGTGTGGGGATACTAACAAGCCCATTATGCTTCTGTGTTGGAGTTCACACCGGTGAACGAGAGGGTTGCCTCTCTGCACCTTTGTGATGCAGGAGAGAAGGTTCTGATTCTTGTTTGTGCTTATGCACCAAACATCAGTTCAGATTACCTGAACTTTTTGGAGTCTTTGGATGGTGTTCTGGGAGGGATGCCATCTGGGGACTCCCGTCTTCTACTGGTTGACTTCAGTGCACATATGGGCAATGATGGAGTTATCTAGAAGGGGGTGATTGGGAGAAATCTGAACTCAAATGGTGTTCTGTTATTTTACCTGTGCTAAGCTTGGTTTGTCCAAAACAACCACCATGTTTGAGCACTGGGTGGTCCATAAGGGTACTTGGTACCAGGCTAATTTAGGGCAAAGGTCAATGATATATTTTGTAATCATGTCATCTGACCTGAGGCCTTATGTTTTGGACCATTAGGTGAAGATAAGATCTGTCAACTGATCACCTGGTGGTGAGCTGGATCCAGTGGCGGGGGGAGGCTGCCGGTCAGACCAGGTAAACCCAAACGTATAGTGAGGGTGAACTGGGAAAGTCTGGTGGAGCCACCTTCAACTATCATCTTCAGGAGAGTTTTTCACATGTCCAGGGGAAGGTCAGGGACATGAAATCCAAATGGCCCATGTTCAGGTCCTACATTGCAGATGCGTCTTCCTGGGGCTGTGGCCTGTAGGTCATCAGTTCGTGTCACGGTGACAACTAAACAACTTGCTGGTGGACACCAGCGGTGATGGAGGCTGTCACACTGAAGAAGGAGGCCTTCCGGATTTGGATTTCTTGGAATACTCCTAAAGCAGCTAACGGATACAGGGTGGCCAGAAGAGCAGGAATTCTGGGGACCATGGAGAAGGACCTCTATGAGGTTCTGGAAAAGCAGTCAGAGACTCAGAAAAGGAAAGTGTTCCCTTTCCCAGTCTGTACTTGGTTTGGGTGGGGAACTGCTGACCTGGACTGTGGATATTGTTGGGTGGTTAAAGGAACACTTCAAAAATCTCCTGAATCCACCCTCCATGTTCACCTTTGAGGAGGCAGAGTCTGAATACTCAGGGGAAGACGGGTCCATCACCATGGCAGAGGTCACAGAGGTAGTCAAAGGGCTCCTTGGTGGCAAAGCACAATGGGGGGAGGAGATTCACCCTGAGATTCTGAAGGCTCTGGATGTTGTGGGGCTGTCATTGTTGACACATCTCTTCAACATCACATGGAGGACTGGGACAACTCCAAGACCAGGGCGGTGGTTCCTATTTTTTAAAAGGTGGACCTGAGAATGTGTTCTAACTATTGTGGGATCCCACTTCTCGCCCTCTCCAGTAAAGTTTACTCCAAGGTATTGGAAGGAAGGCTCTATTTGATCGTCAAACAGTTTCAAGAGGAGCAGTGTGGCTTCTCATCTCTGCGGTATGCAGATGATGTGGTTCTGTTGGTGTCTTCAGACCAAGACCTTCAGTGTGCACTGGGGCGGTTCACAGTCGAGTGTGGAGCGGCTGGGATGAAAGTCAGTTCCTCTAAATCTGAGGTCATGGTTCTCAACTGGAAAAGGGTGGAATACCCCCTCAGGGTCGGGGGAGAGCCTCTGCCTCAAGTGGAGGAGTTTAAGTGAGGATTTTGAAGTCTTGACTGAATTGTGAAGCACTTGGGTCAGCTTTTGTTGTTATTGTGCTATTCAAATAAATTTGACATTGATATTGACATTAAGTATCTGGGTGTCTTGTTCAGCAGTGATGGTAGGATGGAGCGGGAGATGGATCGACGGATTGGGGCTCGTCCTCAGTAATGAGGGCGTTGCTTCAGTCAGTTGTGGTGTCAGTCAAAATGAGCTTCCTTCATAGGGTGGCTGGGCTCAGCCTTAGAAGCTTCATCATTTGGGGGAGCTTGGAGTAGAACTGCTGCTCCTCCACATCGAAAGGAGTCAGTTGAGGTGGTTCATCTGATTAGGATGCCTCCTGGATGCATGCCTTTAGAGGCCACGGGGAAGACTCAGGACTCTCTGGAGGTCCGGATGTATCCTCTCTGATCTGGGAACACCTCGGGGCCTGGGACAAGCTGGAAAGTGTTGCTGGGGAGTGGGAGGTCTGGGCTTCTCTCCTGGATCTGTTGCCTCCATGACCTGACTGTGGATAAGTTCTAGTAGATGGAGATGTTGGACAACATTCTGACTGCTGAGCAGCAATCAAAAATCTAATAAAAGATTTTGCAATTTTGCCCTGATGTCATGCTGTATTGTTCTGTGTTCTTAAATTCTGTGTCTCATTCATCCAACATTTATACAACACATCTCAATGATTCCAAGTGGAAATCTGAATATATATGTGTATATATACATATATATAATTTTTGCTTCATTCAAAATAAAAATATATTTCAAATCATTTGTAAATTTACATTTTATGTTTGAAACGTAAAAGATTATAATACTATGACATACTGCAGTGTTTCAGCTAATATTAATATGGGG